CAAGACTTTTAAAAAAACTACTCACTACCTCCAAATTAATCTCATTTGTTAATATTATCAATCCCTGAGAAAGGAATGCCCTGATATTTCAGTGGGCACAGAAGACATCAAACGTTAATCGTGTACTTACTGGCCGTAGCCAAACTTCTATGCTGCAAATCAAGATTGAGCATATATTTGTTCTGAAAGGAGCAGAACTGTGTAATCAATTATGACCAACTACTTTTAATTAATAACAACTGTGCTACTAAAACAGTATTGGCAAACACATTACAAATAGTTTACACCCCATAAACACTCTTAAGCATAGAATGCTAAAGCAACAGCTTATAGTATTTGCAATACTATTACAAAATTATTTAAAAAAAATTTGCTTAAATAATGAAGAGATATAGCCCACACCACAAAGCACATAAAAGATAGGTAGGTGTTAACTACAGCTGGTTTAAAGAATAACAGTTCTTCAAATTCAAACTTTTCTTCAGCACATAGGATTTAACAGTTTGACACCTCTATCTGACAGAGGCTGAAACCAAATTAATTTTAATTAATGAATCAAGTTAATTTTCCTGTACAGAGATACTTGTGCTTTCTGTACCATTTTTTTTTCTGCATCTCAAAGTCTAAAATAAAATGTAGTTGATTTTTTATCTGAATTTATTTGCTGAGTACTGCTAAGTGGTACAAACATCTCATTGCTCTGGATTTCAACTTTTTTCACTATTCAACAGGTAACTTCATTACATATTGCCCACATTAAAACAAATCACCCATTCTCCAACCTAAAATTGACATAACTGTTACAAAAATCTTGTTGTCTACTTCTAACACACCTTCCTCACCAAGAAAGCTCCAACAAGCATGTCTACTTTCCCACCATTTCCTTCAAAAACTATTCACATCCCCCTTAAATCCAGCAATTGACTTGACTGTGCTGGGAGCTTCTGACAATCTGCTAAACAGTTCTCCCACTATGACCAATTCTGAACAGTCAATATGTGAAAAGTGTAGTTAAAACTGTCCTCTGCACAGAGATTTGTAGATGCTGAATACATGTAAGTGAATATCTTGCTGCACTGCAGTGCAAGATGAAGTTTCATTATCAGTCTACACAGATTTAAGGATGTCCTGCTCCTGAGGAGAGTAAGGGCATCCACTCTCACCTTCCAGACCCCTGTCCCTGCCTGCTCTATTGCTTGTGTAATACTGTGAGTGTGACCAGAAAACTGACCCACTGAAAATCAGGGCCTTTGAGTGTGTCCGTACTTCATCTGGTTTAAAATGATCACTGAGATGTTATTCTTTTCACCTTTTTAGCAGTGAACTAAAGAGTCCTAGGCCACTTCCATAGCCAAAAAATGTGGCTCTTGAGTGATGCTACAGAAGTAGGAGCATCTGCCTGCAAGCAGGGTAAGGAGATATAAAGGTAAATATCAAATAATTGAGGAAACACATTTATTACTTAGAATGTTTAAGACAGAGAGTATGAGAGAGAACTTCAGAAAAACAATAATAACAACCTTCTTTCAAAATAAATGTAGTATTGAAACAGATCAAAGTGTGATCCATTTTGTAAGAAGACTCTGCTTCCCTTTTTCCATCTCTCGACTTTGCAGGATTCAATACTCATTACACTCCCACAAATAAACAACAAAAACATAATTCCGAGGATGAGACACCGTGCCTGAAGGTGCCAGTGAGAGGAACGCTGCCCCCTGGTGCTGCACACCACTCGCAGGATCACAGCAGCTCAGGGGAAGCCACTAACAGCAGGAGCTGAGGCTGGAGAATCTGAACTGCAGCTTGCTACAGGGGAACTAGCATCAATCAGCACTGCATCCTCCAGCTACCAGTTGTAAAGTGTTAGAAGTCCTACAGATCATTTCACCCATGTAGAAAATCCTTTCTACACCTTCAAACTGAACATCAGCCTCATCTTCAGGCTCACCAGGGATCATCTGGCTCTCTTGTCAGGCAGCAAATTGTGTAATAGTTCTCTGATGTGCTTAATTGTAAAGTTATGTACAGAAGCAGGAAAAAATACTAGGGGAAGGGGAAAGTAGCAGCACCAACAAGCAGGAAGTGGCTGGAAAAGAGCGTGTACGTGGGGCTTTGCTCCCACAACCAAAAGTAATGGTTTCTCTACAAGGCTTTGTGTTATCTCAGAGTGCTTGCCTTGCTGAGCATGGCTACTTTAGTCCAATCTAGGCAGGCAAGGCAGGAATCTCAAACAGCAAGAAAAAAAAGGCTTTCTAGCATATCTATCTGCAGTATTTTTCTTCTACTGATTCAGGACAGAACACCCTCCTTCATGTATACTAAATCCTTCCTTTTAAATAATGGTATCTGCAAAACAAACTGTGCTCTCTGCCTGGTAATTCATGATGCAACCCCCAAAGCACAGCCAACAACCATTTTGTCCCACCTGAGCTACAGAAAATGAAGTTTTAGCTCAAACGATTTATGAGCACTTCCTAAAGGATTAAATGAATCAGAAGTGCAAGACAGTGGGACTAAGTGCTGTTTAAGCTGTTCATGCTTCAAGTGGAAATTCAGGATATCAGACTTTTATCAAGTTCAGTACCCCGAAAGTGTAAGATCAAAATTTCAGCAAAAGCTATGTACTAGTTGTCTGGGGTTTTTTTATTTTTTTTTTAACTTTTAGTAAATACACCTTCATATCCTGCTGTGTTAACCACACAGAGAGCAGCAATGAACATGATGCACTTTGAGACTCAGCTCACCACCTGCCTATACAAACAAAACCACAAGTGTCAGTGCCTAGGTTTTTCTGTGAATATAAAGCTTAAAGCTGTCTCTAGTTCTTGTGACAACTTACACATTCTTATGTGCAATTCACTCACTACAACCCAGAGGAATTACAGCCACAGAGCAGTTTCATTTTGTTGACAATGCCTGCCCACATGTGGTCAAAGCAATGCACAGTTCAGGCACCCTGGTGGATTTTACCTTTAACACAAAGTTTAGTAAAGCAGCCTAGGTTAAGCTTGAAAAACTGTATCATCTCTGGGACACAGAGGTCTGGGTCTCTTGGCTGAGAGACTTAGTAGCTTTTAAACACACCCCTTCCCAGCTTCTTTCCTTACTCCCCTCCAGCAGATTACTCTTTAGCAGGGTGTTGACCATGGCAGCTCAAGGGAGAAAGTGGTCAGTGGAGTCTGCGTCTATGAAAGGGAACTCATAAATCACAGATGTTCCCTTATTTCCCTCCCTTCATGCTTACTTTTGCAGAACATGACAAAGCATGTTATCTTTAAAACCTTCTTTGCCCTCTGTCCAATTTGGCTGAAATTGATCTTTTGGTGATACATCAGCTGCTTGTACAAATTAAAGGAAATCAGTCTAAAAAGACTGAGAAAGACTTAAAAAAAGACAATATGAAAGAGAAACAAGATGATGAATGACAGGTAGTTACATTTATTTTGGAACTAGAGGGGTTTCTTAGTTAACTGTGGCAGTGAGTCCAGTGTAGGACCAGCTGTACAGCAGCTCTCTTTAAGGCTACAGAGACTGGATAACAAGTGAGCATCCTTCACTGCCAGAAATGTTCCAGGAGATGCATAGAAGTCCAAATAGAAAAGCCCTGTATTTGCTTTAAATAATTAAAAAATCCCCTGACTCTGAGTTTTCTTCTGTTCATAAACTATGTACAGTGAAAGAAAAAAGAAAATTGATGAAGAAAGAAAGCCAAATATTTTAAATTTCTGCTCCTATTAATAGCACATCCTGTTTTCCATTTCGGCCGCACTTGTTTCCCAAGCTATTCTACCCAGCTGTAGGTTGTTAAAATTGTATCTTGCAGCTATTATGTCTCAGAGGAAATGCTTGGGTAGGCAATTTATGTGGATTTTGTTTTCCTATTTAATATGGGAAGGTTATGTGGCTTTCAAAAACAAGTCAGACTATTTCCAGTCACAAAGAAAGACATCACACTTGTAAAAATAGAAATTTCACATAACAGCTCTTCATATAACATGCCTTTATATGAAGAGCTGTTATGTGAAATTTCTATTTTTACAGCAGAGCATTTCACATCTATGTTTACACAACACACTCCTGAGATCACTTCACATTGAAGTACACTAAATTTGAGAGGCATCTGTGCCCATATATACAGCTTACCTCACTGTCACTCAAACTGCGTTGCAAGCAGTGCATTAATGATAGAAACACTTCTGTTACATGCCTACTGCAGTTAATCGAGATCTCACTTTAAGATTCAAGAAAAACATCTCAGTGACACTAACATGGTTACTTTTTACTACATTTACTATAAGATACTGCTCCTTTCTGTTTCCTTACACTTTTTCTTATGTTTCATACAACGGCCTTAGAGGTAAGTCAGAAGATTTTCTCAAGGATTCTTGGCCCCAGCATGTCCTGTACTATCCTGTACTATCTGGCTTACATAAAACGAATGCACAAAATGATGCACATGCATGGTTATGTGCAGCGGTTTTCTTCTAGTCTGTGGTTCTTCAGCTCTACAAAATTTCACAAAATAATTATGGGAACAGTGGATAACTATGACTCAAGTGGCAAATGTCACAGACTAGAGCAGCATACATGAGGACAAAGCATGCGCTACAGAACTCAAATGAGATAATGAAATAAATGTAATTCCTGCTAGTAGACCTGGATTTTTCTAGTCTGTAGTTCTATACTCCAACACAGAAAATGAAATAGAAGCATCCTCTTTTCTTCCGCACAATACTTGGTGATGCATTTTTTCCCAGAACTCATTAAAATAGTACACATAAAAAAAATTTCTTCTCTGGCTAGTTAACATGATGTAAAGCTGAAATGTAAAAACTCAACACCTAACGAGCTGAGTATTACCAAAAAGCAGGTGGCAAACTGCAGTGACAGTACAATCAGAACACCAGGCAAACAGATCCCCCTTGGTGGACACAATGATTCACACCGCACACACTACATACACAAATAAGCTCACAGAAGCAAACAAACCCAGGCTTTACCATCGTATCTGCTGGGAGAATCACAGGCTTTCTGAGGGGTGGCCACTCGCAGGAATATCTGCTGCCTCCACGAATGCCTTCGAGTCCTCACGGGGCTGTCGGCATCCAGGGCCGGCTGGCCGTGCTTGGACTCGTAGTCGCTGAAAGGGCAGAACACAGAACGGTTTGTGGGGAGGTCACCTGGGTGTGCCAGGAACAGCCACGCAGCCCTCGGGAACACGTGGGCACTGCCTTGGGAGCGCAGTGTGCTGTGCACATGCCGGGCCAAGCTCGCAGTGCTCGGAAGGTGAAACTTGCTTTGTGGCAGAGGCTTACGCATGGCTGCAAACAGCACTGAGGCTCACAAGAAGGAACTGGCAGCTCTTTACAGTCTACTCTTTCCAGTTCTAATTAATTTTCAGTTTTCTTTGCAGCAGTATATTAATCAGAGCGTATTAAAGATACATACACAATAATGTAGCTTTACCATCACACTATTTACATTGCCATCCACAAAACTTAGCAATTATTCATAGGAGACACAATGACTTGCTGATGCCTTTTATCAGTACTCATCAAGGAGCTTTATAAACACCAACTGAACTTCCAACCTTCTGTGCACTGGATATGCAATATATCCTGTCCCAACACAGACTGGGAGAAAAACTTTAAATCTTTCTGTTAGCAAGTCCACCTCTGAAATATGCAACAAACTTGGGAACAAAATCCAAGAACCTTGGATAGTACTCCTTTGATGTACATGCCAAACAGAGGTTTTTATTCAGAATACAAAACAAAATAGTGAGGAACAATGCTGTTTTCCTATTAAAAATCCCACTAATAACTTAATCTGTTAGAACTCTAAACTATTAATTGCTTTATTCCAGCTATTAGCTAAATTGTTACATTAGTCTTTGTAGAAGCTGAAAGGGATAAATGAAATCCAGATAGCATCTAGGGAGGAGCATTTTACAGATCATCCTCTCCTTCCAACATGAGGACACTGACATTGCTTAGGATGAATCATATATTCTCTTAAGTGAAAACTCTTCCATGTCAGGAATAATCACAAAAATACATAGATGGAAGTTGCATGACCATTGCAACATCAAAAATTACTAAAATCTGTAATCCTAATCGCAGAGCAGTCTGGGATAGCTTAATTCTTTTGACAGCAGTTACATGCAGAATACACGCAGGTAAACATTTGCACAAATCAGGTTTTGCAAGTGCAAGAAGCATTTGAAATATTTCAGACAAAGAAGTCTTTGAAAATACAGTTTTACCTCCAGGCTTTAAGAGAGAACCCTACCTTGTTGTGCTCCTAAAGTCAGAGGTGTTATTTTCATCTACAGGAGCCAGAAATTTTAAGAAATTTGGCACAGAAGAGGAAGAATGAAGCTTTTTCCTTAAGGCAGTACGGTAGGAGATGCTGAGAGTGCAGTTGGGAAAAGTATAGTTTAGAACAAAGAAGTATAAATCCACAGAATAAAAATAATACACATTCCTAAGTTTCAAACAAAAGGCAGCTAAATCCTGAAGATCTCAATATCAAGGAAACCAAAGTCAAAACTAAAACTGCTAACAAAGCCCTACTTTGAGATACATATTTGTTTGGGCAAACTAAAATGTTCCAATGTATATAAATGTACTTCCAGTAAAGTTATTATTCTTTGCTATATTGCGAGATTTTTAGTGCATGTTTCAAATAAATTCCTTTAATAATTCTTTCTAATAAGAACCAATGCCAACTTTATGACATTTTCTTAAATATGAGTTTCAATGCTGACTAAGTTTGGGGGAAAAGGTTAGGAAAAGTTGACACTGATAATCTCTGTGCTGGCAAATTAAAAATAAGACTTTGGCAAAAACTATTTTGTAAAGCATTAACAGGGTTTTATTCAGACAAACTTGGAACTTTAAAGTTAAAAGCTAAGCCTTCTGATCATTCAGGATTGTGGCTCTATTTATGCAACAGACAGGAGCGCTAATCAAATTTCATCAACAGTCTTCTGGCCAACATAATTGTTGTAACATAAATTATTTTCATTTAAAATAATTATTTAATTGTCTTTTAAAATAACAAGTCTGAAACATACTCAGAAGAAGGTCAAATAAAATGAAGTCAGAACAACTCAGATAATGAAAAGTTTTTGCATAGAGTGAAAATATAGAAAATTACTTGGCTGACAATACTAGACAACCTTTTTTGAGACAAGTACACAAAAATCACATGAGTAGGAGAATTTATACCTGAAAAAGAAAATTTAAGAAAGAACATTATGGTTTATCAGAAACAATTCTATCTGGCCGGCATTTAGCACTGTTTCCTGAAGATGTGGATGGAAGGGAGTGGGGGAGGGCAGAATATTCAGGGATGATCACTAGCATGAAGTGAAGCAGGTTCTTTAGTCGCTGGTATTGAGATAAAGAAGATAAGGCTGTAGCATGGTGTGCCATGCAAACAGGGCTCACTTACAATTACAGTGTAAATCCATTACAATTACATGGTAATTTCACTTACAGAATTGGGAAGCTTGACTGTATTGATTTAAACTCATTAACCCATTTGACACCCCTATCAATTTCCATTTTCAGTGTTCCTGCTTAGATGTTCAATATTGCATACCCTTAAGAGACAGGGAAAGGAAAGGAAAAGTTGCAGCTGTGTGTACAGAATCATTACCAAATCACTTGGAAAAAATTGCTTTGAGAATTTAACCTTCAGGATTCAAGTAAGTCTTACTAAATTGAAGAGTGATTCTGCAGATTTGCATTTCCTGCCTTGAGCTGTGTCATACTTCTGAGATAAAGCTGAATTAAGAGATTCTAGTTAGCACTCAGCAAGTACAACTGAAGAAAGTGGTGAAGCAGCATCCTCAGTTGAGTATTTTCTTAGGTTTAGAAAAATCAGCACCTTGGGGAAACAGGAAATTTTCACATACGAGAACAAAGCCAAAAAATAAACAGCAACAGCAAAAAAAATTGCTTGCCAATGGCCAGTGACTGTTGACAGTGCTTCTGAGGACATTTGGTCTCATTAGCCTTTTCAGCTGAAATAAGCAGTTTTAGCTCAAGGGGTTAAGAAAGAGTTTCACACTTTATAATTTTTAGGGAGCCACTCAGTTTCAGGTTCTCAGGGAAACAAATGTTAATGTCCTTTTCTTCAATGCTCTCTCTATGCATTTTAATTCTAAGAAAGAAGGCATGGAAAAGTATAATTTCATACTGCTGCAAGTAACCAAGACAAATGATGGGTTGGGGTTTTTGTTTGTTTGTTCTTGGGGTTTTGTTTTGTGAGGAGTGGGGATGGCGGTGGGATTGTATGTGGAGAGTATTTTCCTATCAGCTCTCCATATTCCTGGTGCTTCTTGCCCCATGTAACTACTTAGTCAACTTGTCTTTAATATCAGGCACAAAAGAAAAGTAGTATGTTTTTGTGTTGCCATTAACAAAGGACAGAACCAAATGCTTCAGGAAGGACAAACAGAGTGAGCTCTCAGGTTCTTGGCAACTTATCCCTCACACAATTTAAGGAGTGCTGCTGTCTGCTGCATAACAACAAACTGGTTTGGAACAACTGGCTCTAAAGAAAGAGCCAGTGTCTGAAAGAATTTGATTGATTAAAACAGTAAATTATGTAAGTACCAGCTCTACATTCAGTGGTGGAGCAGTTAAAGAACTTTCTCTCCCACAAAAATCTACCACCTTTGGTCTATACTAAATTGTTTTAATTATTTGTGCTATAGAGTTTCATATTTACGACATAGGAAAACAAACACTAGCCCAAATTATTTGCAGCTACTAGCTCACCTTTTTTGTGCAAAATGCCCACTTGTTTCTCCACTTGAATTATGCCTTAGATATTTTAGGAAGTTGGGTGAAGAGGCCGAGGGATTAAGACGAGCTAGAGTAGGAGAACGTGCAAGTTGACCAGAAGAACTTTTAGATTTGCCGACAGATTCGTTCATACCATATAGTGCGGATTCCAACCAGAGCGATGGAGTTGAGGTAGCACAGAGAACAACACAGAAAGAAAGGAAAGGAGGGGAAAAAAAAAATGAAATCCCTTCTCTAATCTTTGAAAGGGAGTTGGCATATGTAAATGAGACATTTCCTATGTTTTTCACAGTTAATGCACTAACTATAAGAACACTAACTTTTTTTTAACTCAGTAGGCAAAGCTCCAAATTCACGTTTACAGGCTTCAGCAAGGCATTTCAGAATATGACCAACTATAACTCACCAAAAAATGGCACTAACACCCCCATTTCTTTTTCCTTATATGTGCTTCCCCTTGATTTCGATGAGAAAGTCAGGCATGTGATCAAGAGTTCCAATAATGAAAAGTGAAATACAGAAGTATTTCAACAGTAATTGGAAAAAGCCAGATAGAAGGGAGGGAGAAAACTGCCATAAAGTTAAGAGGGGACTAGCGATGCAGAGGCAGGCCTTTGAAGGAGGACAGCTTGAAGAGTATTCATATTAAAGCAAGTAATGGTTTGTTTTTGTGAGTAAAATCTAGATAGGCTCACTGGAAAGCTAGACAGGAGCCTCATCTCTACCAATAACTAGGCACTTTAAGTCACTTTTGTGTGCTATTTCAAAGCTACATATGAAATCACCAGCTAGTAAGGTTTTCATGATCACAGAGGCTACTGGATTTTTCTCTGTAAATAGAAAACAAGAAGTAGCATTTATTTATACTACTCACATATCAAAACAACAAAAATGATTGTTTGGACAAAGATAACTGTATCAAGTAGTTTGTGACATATACTGTGGAACTACACATCTCATGTCTTCTTTCTCCTGGGAAGCACCCAGGGCTAAAGGTGTTTTTAAAAAGAATACCTACAACCCTCCATGGAGTGACACACTGCATCTCTTATCCATTAAGAGGACATACCTGGTATGCAATTATCATCCCCAAATATGCCCTTAACAAACAAAATCATAGCCTGCTTTTAATAAGGCTTACTTTCTTTTGTGAGGAGTCTCTGTGCTCACTGAGTGATACCTCATAAGTTTCCTCTGAGGAACAGATGGCGATGTTTCGGCAGGCCCCAGAGATTCCCGGCTCTCACTCGGTAAATGGCTCAGTGTGTTTGCTCGCCTCCGAAAGCTCTGCTGGGGCAATGTAACAGACTGCTCCAGAGAGAAATCTTCTGTGTTGCTGCAGAGATCATCCAGCGATCCACTGGTCTTGACAGCATTTTCTGCAGGAAGCGTAGGAAGTCTGTCTTTCTCCTTTTCACACAATGGTGGCTCCTAGCAGTGCAAGAAATAAGGTTATCAATATGTGGGCTTAGAATCCATCTCTGAGATTGCAGTACCATGTCATGATTCATATCCCACAGACAATTGCTTCAAACACACACATTTTTATCAAGCTAGGTCAAAGAAAGATGTTTGATATTTTATGTCCTTGTTATTCATCACTTACGCCAACTAAGCAGAGTCTCTATTTTGCAGAGAAAATTTTGAGTAATTTTGAGAGTAATTGTATTTTATAGTATGTTGAATACAACTCAAAAGAAATAGGGTCAGAACAAAATGGTGATGTTAGGCTAACAGTGAAAAGGGTGGCATTGCAGAATGCTGTATCTTTAGCAACCCAGTCTAACCATATAATATTCCTCTTGTCTACCTGCAGATTCACACAAAGAACTTAAGCCTATGACTAGATGCCTGTTTCAATCCCAAGCCATGCATTTTCTTTATTCCTCACCTTGTGGGTTTCCTGCAGAATCAGCCAATCTTTCAAAAACATAAGCAGAAAGAGCAGACTCTTGTTTACATGGCGTCAGGAGTCTGCAGGTGAGCAGGAATTACAGCAGAATCAATAGCTGTATATCTAAGCCTGCAGAGTGCTATGCTGCCTCCAGGGAAGAAGACTGGCTTCTTCCATGCTTTTGGTTTGTATTGTTTTATACAGACTAAAAGTTTTCTAACCACACAAACAGGGAAATTACTTCCTGCTTTAGTTTTATGTTTCTTTTAATACAGTCCTGCATTCATGGTATGAACTTTCAGGGATTAGTCAGATTAGGATCAGGAGCATGGTCATTATAGCACTTGTTTTGCTGCACACTGTTGTAAAATTCAGATGATTTTATATAATATTTTATTTCACATATTCATACAAAATATATGTTACATATAGTACAAGGCATTTCTAATTCAGTAGCACTTCTCTGGTTTATAACACAGGGAATAGAATGAAAAGCTTAAAAGCAACTTGAAACATTTCACATCTGACCATATTTCATACTTGCTTAGTTGTTTCAGGGAATATTTTTTGAAGTGTCTAAATATGTACAATTATCCCAGGCTTTACTTACTTTACTTGTGCTGCTTAAGGTACTGGACATAGAGCTGTCCAAATCCACAGAACCAGACCTGTCCAGTGGACCTCTGGCTTTACTGCCCTGTAGAAATAAAGCACATCAGTAGTTAAGTTTGTCATTTATAGGGCACACCAAAGAGATTTGGATAGCACATTTAGGATCTGTAATTTTCACAGACAGTATCAAATTTAATTTCCTGAAATGCCTAAAAATACCCTTTTTCCCTATGGGAAACAGAAGCCTCATTCAGGATAGTCTCTGCAAACTTGAAGGATCCTGTGGAATTAAGGAATTCTCATGGGCAATGATGTGCTTTCCATGATATGTACATAATCACATACTTCATGTGTATTAGAACTACTGTTAAAGTACTTGCTGTATTAGGTACTTACAAAGATACAGAAAAATGAAAAGGATGCTTTTACAAAGGACTAAAGCCATATAAATTTAATACACAGGACAACATAATTTCTGGTATTACCATTAAGTACAAATCAGAAAGCATAAATATTTCTGTAGAATCTGTGAACAATATTTTTATATAATTTGTTTGAATAATGTTTTTGTGTAACCAGGAAAAAAATATCGGATGAATTCTGATGTGCTAACACAATTATGGAACTCGTATCTTCCTAACCTTAAATCATATAATTTTTTAATGTTCTGAAGTTAGACCTCATCTTCTCTTTGAAGTTTTATTCCAGGTAAAATATAAAATGTTGTCATTATTCACAACAGTGACCATCTCTCTAGTTCAGCCAAAACTTCTGGCTCCAGATCTGATCAAAATCAAGAATTTCCATCAAAACAGCAATGCCAGTGAAAATGCAACCAGTGCACAGCTATGCTTACATGAAGGCAGCTTATACTAGTCAGAACAAACTGAAAAAAATTAGAACAATACTACAGCTAATATAACAACACTAACATATTTAATATCCTCAGCACAGCTGCAGTAGGATTTTATAGAGGTGAATTTTAGAAATGCTGTCTGGGAAGTAACAAGAGGAGATACAAAACTCAAAAGCATTTCTATGTGTAGAATTGTAACAGGAAAACCGTTCTTTTGCTATCATTTGTCTTAAGAGAAGAGGTTAGATATGATGCCTGAAGCAAGCTTTGAAAACCTAGTTTTGTCACTACGAGTTGCTCGTCTGTGAACGAATAAATTGTACTAGATATTGCTTCAATGTAACCATCCAATTTCTGTTCCTGAGTATTTGTTATTTGGCATTCTGTCACAACTCTTTTGTTTTAAGGGAGAAGGTCTGATTTTTTTAATCCTTTGTCAAGCAGAAGTCTTTCCAAGCCTCCTACTGTTTTCCTCAGACTTTTCTCATGAGGTGCAGAATGAAGGCTATTTGAATGAGAAGACACTCCATAGATTTAAATCATGATTAAACTTGACATCTGATTTAATTTCAAACTGTTGCTGTTTACTTCAGTAGCTAATTTCAGTGATCTGTTCATGATAAATATTTTCACAGAATCACAGAATTAACTAGGTTGGAAAGGAATCACTATCACATAGAAGCTGAAGTTTTTTCCACTAATTAGTACTTCCAGACACTGCCTACAGAGAATTTTACCAGATGTAATATTGCATAGATGCCTTCATGTTCTTAGTGCCATTCTTTACATTCCTCACCTTTAAATAATCTACAGAATTAAAAAGTTCAGATATCCCACTATTAATCAGTTCGGTGTCACTAATAAACACATCTCATAAGGAATGCTTAGTCAGCTCCTTAGTAGTTCTCTTCCACATAAAGAGAAGTGAACAATTATAATTACTGGTTTAATTTTTTAAATCCGAAAGAGAAATAAACCAATTGTTTCTTTTTATAAGTCCTCATATTAATCTTCACACTAATTTTTTAAAATGCCTATATACACACTTTCTCATCTTGTAATTAGTTCACTTCATCCAGGGCTTGGTATTCTCTTGGCCAAAGCCCAGCTTTTTCTGTCTTCTAAAATGTACACTCAAATATTTTTGTCACTGTGACTTTAATAACCTTTGGGCTAAGGCCTGGAATGCTAACAAATAAGACTTTTCTATCAAATAAACAATGCAATAACATTATATTCAAAGACAATAAACATGAAGATACTTACACGTGATAAAATACTTTCAAAAGATTCTGTAAGAGACCTTTTTGCTTTGTTCTTTAACATGTCTAATCTGAATCTCGAAGCACTGCTGGACACTTCATTTACAGCATTCTCAGCAGGAGGTTGTGAAGCCTGCAAGTGTTTAAAAACAGAAATGCAAAATACTTAACAGCATGGAGAAAATCTCAGTGAACTGTTTGAAGACTTCTATAACCTGTACCAATAGTTTTTCCTGGTGTCCTCAGGTTGTCATGAATTTTTCACTAGTGATACTTTTACTGAAGTTTAACAAACTATCCAAAAATAAGGACAGGAAATCTCTTAGGAAATGTGTTGAGTGAACTAACATGCTTCAGAAGAAGTGCCACTTTAATATGGATTTACACCTCTATTGATAAATTTTCATTTATACCAATGTAGAATTGTACAAATTCTAAATGTTTACGTGTAACAGATTAGAGATTTCTTATGGATTCCCTTTTCTTCAATGAAGAAATGAATCAAATTCTCATCATTAACAGAAACTCTCAACTTTCTCCGTTATGCCAGGAAGATGTGTAACAATCTATCTCCTATATATTTCACCACTAGAAACATTTTCACCTTAAAGCTAACAACCAGTTGAGAGTTTTGCTTCTTAAATAAATATTTCAGTCCATTTTTAGTGCTGGTGAATACTAACGTAGCAAACAAAAAAACAATACTATGATACAAATATTACCATCCAAACCCAATACCTGCAGTAGAAACCAGAGCTCAGTTTTCAAGGCTGTTTTGGGAGGTTCATCTTGAAGCTGACAGGCACCATAGCCCTCTCTACTAGTCCCTAAATTCAGAGATCTGAATGCTTGATTTGTGCAATTGCTACTGGGCAGGTGAATGATATGTTATTAACCATCACCAAACTGTCCAGCCCAGATGTAATTTTAAAACATTCTCTTTCCAGTATGACAACTTTATAGGCTCCTGTATTTTCTTTTTAACTTCTGTTCTGGTTATGCCAGGCCAAGGTTAATTTTTGTAGTAGCCAGGAGGGGGCATGGCCAGGAACTGAAGGATATTTTACACCACCTGTCATTGCTGGAGGTAGGGTTCTCTCTTCAGAGAGAAGGGGCTCCTTCCAGTCAAAAAAATGTGTCAGGAGGGAGTGTTGCAGTACTGTCTATCACTGGGGGGTCGATTCTGCGTGAATAGTTTCTTTTCTTGTACACTCTGTGACTAGTATTACTAGCTGCTATTACTGGTCATTTTCTTACCTCATTGCTGTTTCCCGTAAATTGTTCTTATCTCAGCCTGTGATCTTTGCCTTTTGTGCCTCCAACTGTACTCTCCATCCACCACTGTAGGAGCCTGGGTTGGAGAGTCTTGGTGGGGGCACTGAATGGAGAGCACCATTCCTAAACTATGACACCTTCCCTCATTTTTTTCTCCAAGGGTAAATCAGATGCTGCCTGCTATTACACTCTTATGAAAAAACACTTATTTTAAAGTGTTTTTGTTAAACATGATCCATGTACTAGTATCACATTTCATTTTTTTCTCCCCTGATTTAAATATTTTTTTTTTTTAAAAGGCAATGAAAAGCATGAAAGTGAATACGCAGAACAGAAGGGAGCAGGAACATCAGGGTGTCATGGGTTAATGATTGCTGAGACAAATAACAGTATGTGTTCAAAGGTATCTACTATTACACAGGCCTGGAGATAAATTATCAGAGTAAATATAAAATGTTATGCTGAGACAAATGATAGATTATGGGGAAGTCAGTTCTCCTCTTAGAACGCTGGCATCTTTGCAAGTGTTGTATTCACAATTTGGTTTCAGGAACTGAACAAACAGATTGCAGCAGACCTTATACATTTTCAAATCATTGAAGACACACTTCAATACTTCATACCTAAAGATTTTATCTTGCTTTGTATATCCCTATTTCCAAGCTGTTTGTGACTGACCATCAGCTAGCATTACACCAAACAAAAATATTTTAGGTACGATGACAGAGGACCTCAGGCAATGTTTCTTCCTCTTATCCCACAACTGAAATGCTTTTATCTTAAAAGCATATTTCTGGTGAGATGCCCAAGACAATAAATCAGAGAGTGAAATAGGCAATTTTCCTTCTGTTTACTCAGGAAGGTCAATAATTAGCTAGTAAGCCATAAAAGGAGAAGAGGTTAACAAAGTGAAAATATAGTAAAGGAAGATTTGCTGCTACTTTCCTAATTTATTCACAGTTCTAATTACTCTGCATTTATTTATTTCCTAGTTTATGTCACAAAATGGCTGACAGCAATCATCACAGTGGAATTGTCAACCAACAGTAGAGGGACAGTCAAGACTTTTAAAATGGTCTAAATAATTGGAACTGAAAGTTTTCAGTGAATGGATGGAATCCTTTTTTAAATACTAACCTCCTTGAGTTGTCTCAAGGTAGCTACTCACAAACCAAGGCATCCAAAACCACTAATCCCTAATCTTACCTGTGCTGTATAAATAGTTAAACAACATTGATGGAACCTGATATAGAATAAAAGGTAGCTCATCTCTTTGGATGTGGATGAGAGTCTCTGCTGCTGTTTCTGCAGCAATCCTCCTCATCTTAAGGCCACTTCAAATGGCTGTTTGCACACAAGAAATAACTTTCAGTCCTGAGAAAATGTAATAGCTTTATCAATGACCAAATCCAATGTGTTGTCATTACTGACTCAACACTGACAGCGAGATGGCAAATGCCACAGATCAGCTGAGAGCAATCACAAATTCACTATACATTCTCTCACATATATTGAATTTTCGTTGCAGTGAGAACAAATAAATGATTTAGTAGTTTGCCTTGTTTGCACGCCTGTCTCCTAGGCCTGAAATCAGACTGTACCAGGGACCTCAAAATCAGAGATATCTGTTTTGGCACATGACAACAGTTTATGAACCATAAGCGAACCCAGTATTCACCACTGCTTACACACTGAAGTTTCAAATTACAAGTGATGCAAATTTGCCTTTGGAAAGATATAAAAATGGAATGGAAAATTTTTTCCTGGCTTCTCCTTACATCAACTAAAATTGAATGTTTACTTACCTGTTTTGCTTCTCCAACATGAACATGGTCCTTCTGTTTTTCTTCATACATGTTTCTCAAAAGAGAGATAACCAGCTCATTCTCTTTTTGTTCATTTCGTGGTCTTAATTTCTGTAATTGAAAACACCACAAGCACAGTAATTATACATTTGTGCAACAGTTCGCAAATGTTTACACTTTTCATTTGTCACTGTAATAAATCTTCAATCTAGGAACAAGTTTAGTCTGTTAATGCTACTACTCCAGTCCACCAGAGGACACCAGTGTCCCAGACAGAGCACCAACACAGCGACAAAAGCACTTGACCTCACTTCATACAGGACAGAATTTACACCTTAGACAGGGGACAATTGTACAGATATCAAACTGCCACAAGCAAATAAAGGCCTTAAAAATATTTTTGCCCATTTTCTTTTGATATAAAGAAAACTGAACCACTGTAGTTCTGAGTTTGTAGCACACATGGAGTACTGTTCTAGAGACAGGATTCACAACACTTCTAGAAATCCTTCACACTGGACATTTAGTTTTTGGGAAATTACATAGGTTTTTTATAAATTAGTGCACAAGGTGAACTTATTTATCTATGCTGCATTTTATTTCGATCTCAATTATTTTAAGAGAAGATTTTAAAACAATTTATTAAGTAATTTAATCCCAGAAACCGGACTTTTGAAAAACATACGCTGCCATAAGCCTGTTGATATAATGCAGAGAATACAGTATGAATTAATGCCAAGGTAGCACATTAGAGTAATAAAAGTACCACCCAAAAAAGCAAATGATGGTAAGAACACATGGATCTGCAAGAATGCAACATTCCAGGCTGTCCAACTGAAAAAGTTAGCTGAGAAAGATGGGCAGGAGATTTGTACTTTACTCTTAGTTTTACCAAGTTAATGGTTTGCAGACCCCAAGCAATTAACAGTTTCCTGTGACTACTAGAAAGAAGCTTTTAGTGTTCTGTGTGCAGAACACTAAAAGGCAACAGTGCTGCTAGCTGTCCTATGCTAAGACATTATTCAGCTCATGGAATTGGTTCCACAAAGTAACTTCCAAATTTGGTATTGAGTGATAAATTGCCATGTGGAAACACACAAAGAGACTGAAATGACTCAAAAGAGGAAGGAAACATTACTTTTTAAAAATTCTGACATTTCTTAATCTTCAACAGTATTTCAATCCCAGTGACACTTCCTACAATGCACATCATCTGTTTTAAATCCAGCTATGCTTTCCTCTTCCTAAAATAGATTTAATTAAGAAGACTGAAAGTTTAACTTCTTTAGTTAATTTGACAAAAATTAAGATACAGGATAAATTTTAGGCAAGAAATTTTCTCATCGGGGAATATTACAGAAATTTGTTTTGGTCCAAGTAACAGTTTGAATGTCCTCACAGTACAAGTTATTGCCTTCATCCATAAAAAATGTGTTCAGTTTTACCCAATGAGAAGGCAACATCTCCATGGAAAGCAAGGAGTATTAGGGGAAGAAAAATTAGTAAAACAGTCATTTTCATCAAAAGATAAGTTTTTAACAGCTCTAGAAAAACAAATTAAATGAAAACACAAGCTGGCTAGCAGTCTATTAAGTAAAAAAAAATGAATTATTCACAAAAAATGAAAATTACTTCTGTGTTTTACACAGATGTTAGCAAAAAACACGAGCTGCTTTAAAATCTTGTAGGAAACAAAGCTTACCTGAACCTCTTCAAAAACAGAGGCCTGTTCCTCGTTATTTAGTGTGGTTAGATGCTTTTGTAGTTCCAGTTTAGTCTTAGAAGGGTGCAACCCTACCAAGAGGAACAAAAATGAACAAATTAGAGGGTCAAATTTTTCAGAATTAATCAATCACATAAATATGCTGACAATCTAAGCCAAAGCTTGTCAATTATTTGAGCTGGCCCATTCCATGATTTCATAAGAGGGCATTAGAAAGAACTCTAGGTTAATTTAAAGCTACTACTAAATTCATGTCTTTAAAATGAGGGACATGAACTCTGCAATGAGGAGATTTACTGAGCACAGACCAGGATTATACTCTTAGCTGAAGACTCCATTATCACACAAGACAAACCCACAATCTACTGCATTTTAGCAGACTTGTTTTGTTGGTGTTTTGTGCAGTGCTGCTTGGATATTGTTTATGGTATAAACAGAATTCCCTTTCATTTTCTCCAATTTCTATGCTCTAGGCCCTTCTGAAAATGAGTAAATTTATTGCTTGTTAGTGAAAGTCTTACTTTGCCTTTTGATGAAAACATTTATTGACAGTCTAAAGCAGACTACCCTTTCATTCAGATTATTTTTTCTGTTCTCATCCTGGATTAAATTCCTTTCCTCTGTTTTCTGTGGAAAAACAGCAAGCCATCAACAGTATTGTGCAGTTCAGTTTCTGATCATGGAATATCGCCTTCAGAAGCAGACAATATGATTAATAACATGGCTTGATTGAAGGTATTAAGGAACATTTGCCTTTAAGAAACTTCCCAAAAATCACAGCTAGCTGAAAGCCAAAATAGAGTGAAAGTACTTTTGGAAGTTCTCCAGTTTCATCAAATTAACACTAGGCAGGTTTTAGTCCAACAAGCCACTGCCACGTGATCTGACAAGCTGCTGTTGTCCTTTATTCACCCCAAACTTCACTTAAGTGAACAAAATCTAACACTGAAATTTGCTGAAATGTAAAGAGGATTTTTATTACTTGAACGTCTGTTCCTGGGCAGCAACTACAATTCTAATTCCTGTGTTTCCATGAAGGAGCAGAGATCAACACCACATATTAAAAGCATTCTGTTCAGTTCCTGCTTAGTGATAGCATAATGCCAGTTTCTAAGTGGATTCAATAGGAGCAGGTCATAGCTATTGCAGCATCTGTCCTTCAGAGGTTCCTTATCTACAGTCTTCTGCATTTATAGGGCTAAAAGAGCCAAACAAGCTGCAACTTGGTAATGTTTACACTTGGAAACAGTTTTCAAAAGTTCAACTAAAACACATAAAGGAGCTTACCTCTTGTTAGAAAATTCCTATTACTTTACAGAAAACCTGACACTATAGTCCTCTATATAAAAGTACCTGGCTCTCAACTTTTCCCCCAAGTCCCAAGCTCTTTTTAAGCAGTAATTTCCTTAGGATTTTACATACTGTCCACCAATGAAACTGCCAGAAAAAATATTCAACCAGAAAATTCTTTAAACTTCACCTTCTATCTTTTCACAGAGTTTATGCAAACTTTGCATAGGACACCCTTCACAGAGCTGGGGCTGTGCCTTGGAAGTTTGTTGTACAGCAGCCACAGTAAAAGCCTGTTTCAATGTCATCATGATTTCATCAACCTGAAAAGAACAGCATGCAGAAGAAAAGAATTTAACTCTTCCACTGTTTTCCTTAACACAAACACAACAGTTTTTTAGAATGATACTGCCCTTTGCATGGAAATGTGCTTATGATTGAAAACCCAAGCTGTTGGTTGCTATGTCGGCTCTGTGCACAAACACACAAGCACAATAAAACTCATCATGAACTCATGTCTCTTCCAGGCCACCCAATTTTATAACTGTGGTCCAATGAATGATAAAACCCGCTATCTCAAAGCCCTTTCTTGTCTATGATCAAAAAGCTTACTGCAGTTGTGATGCACTGGTCTTATGGTCTTACTTAGAGCACAGGAGTGTAGTCCTGATTTTCAGAACAGGTGCCCTAAGAGAAAACACGCCCCAGAAAGAGGCATAAGGTCTGACTTAGTTTGTGAAATGAAGATTTAGTGGATTTTAAAGAGGATTTTAACTTCTGCCCTCAAAACAAATGGAAAGGTATCTTGCAGACTGCTATATTAGTTACATTTTTGAAATACTTGTATTTCTGAGTGGAGTAGGATTTGAGGACATTCAGCAAAATACAGAGCATAGAGCAATAGAAGACATTTAGGGCCTAATATTCTGTTTGGATATTCTTGTCTTTCACTTACCAGTGCTTCATCTGTACACTGAAATACATAGCAAACAAAGTGGAAGCCTCCATTTTCTGAAGACTCTCTGCAGATGAACCCAAAGTGATCCACATGTCTAATTCCCTAGCAAAGAAACAACAGCAGTGAAACAGTCATACCTGCTCTCAATGTTTTGTACCTGTATTTCTTTCAGGAAGAAAAGAACAAAATAGCATTACGTGTAGGTCACTTTTCCCTGTTAGAGCTACATTAAAGACATCTGGCCATTAAAATTCTGTCCTGTTAGAGAACCTAATACTTCATGAATCTTTAATTTCAATTAAGTCAGACATTGTTTTGTTTTTCATTTTGTTTTTAATGGATGAAGTACAAAAGACCCATACAGCAAACTCAGAGATTAATAAATCCTATTAAAAATGTATTTTACTCTGAAATTTTCAGAATATGTGCCTATATGTTCAGTGACAAAAGCTATTATCATCAAATTAAAAAATAGAGTAATTTATGGAAAATAAACCCTGCAAAACAAACAAAAAAACTCAGGCAGAAGGACAGAGAAGCACACTCTGTGGCACAAGAAAAAGGGATTAATAGTGAATGAAGAGTCTCTGACACACCCTGCCCACAGTGCATCACATATATTACCTCTGCATGGCAGAGGACTGTCCTCATTTAAACACATGCAACCTATATTCTTGTAAAGAATATACTTTTAAAGTATTTTTCAGATAACTCTTCCATATAATTTTTCTCCTTTCATTCTCACTTCTTGAAAAATATGGCTCAGAGATCCCAAGATCTACACAACCGTGAATCATGCTCACTGCAGTCTCAAACAAGAGTTTGTTCCTGACCAGTGTGCTCCTTCTAGCTAATATTATTCATCCACTGCACACAGGAGTGAGTTTTCATTTCAGAAATCACAATGCAAAGCATGAAAGAAGAATGATGGTCTTATAAAATTACTGATTAATTAGCAGCTTTTCAACAGCAATCACTGAAACTGCTGTTGAGAGAATCCATGTGGAGTGCAAGGATTACATGAGCATTCACAAGCAGAGAATATTTAAACAACAAAAAAAGATAGAAAGAATACACTACAATCTTACCTGAGAACAAAAGGATATTTCTTTAAAGCTTTTCTCAATTGCGACTTTTTTTGTGTCAGGACTGATAAGGTAAACTTCAGACTGGCCAATCTAAAAAGAGCAAAATAAATTGCAAGATGCTAAAAAGTAACATTACACTTTCTTTTGTCCCACTATACAAATGTTTCCTAAATATAGATCTCAATTTTTTTTCTACCTGTATATTTATATCAATTAGCATATTACTACCAGAAAGAATACTGAAACAACACTGATCTGGCATTGAGAGCTCTGCACATTATGGCACTGAGGTTTAACGAGACAAGAAAATACTGTTTAAACAGATGAGAGCAATATTGTATCACAAGTAACCTACTTTGCACTGAGAGAAATACACTCCCTCTTCCTATTTTCTGCAGTCTTGCAATGTACTACAGTCACAGAAGCTAGTTCATAAGGCTGCTTTAAAATTTAAATCCAAGCGTGTGCTTCTTCCTGTAATCTACTTAATAATTTTTGTGAACTTTATTTATTTATGGCACACATAACATTTAATTTAAAGCACTTAAACTCAAAAACAAATTAATTTATTGGAGTATATTTTCTAATGTAATTTAATCTGTAGGTCATTTGTACAGTCAAAAGATGATGCTAAGTATTGATGGGCAAAGTGTATTTTCATGGTGAAACTATTGTTTTCATTTTTTCAGATTCTGGTAACATCTTTGTGAGATAGTAACAGAAAAATTTAAATTCCTCATATTTTCTAGCATGTCAGAGACTGCTAAAAACAAATCTCATATCAGATTTTAGGAAGGCAGGTGGAATTTAGATCCACTCATGAGCATGACTTGGAGAAATCCACTTCAATCAGTACCCAGTACCAAAAGATGCACAAAAAAACATCGGCAGCACCAATTTAACTGTACTTTCTTAAGAGAGTGGGAAGGGACAAATCTCATGTGGGAAGAGATCAAGTCAGATATGCCACATCTGTATATCTAAAAATGGTCCTGTGCATTCACCTTCCACCTCTTCTTTCACTTCAACCACTCACAATGGTTCTCCCCAGATGCCTGCTGGTTTCCTTGTATTGTCGCTGGGGCTGATCTTGCCTTTGTTCATGGGGTTATTCCTTCCAACACCTACTCCTGATTACTGCTGTGTTCCCCTCTCTGCAGCAAGAGCCTCCTTCTTATTGCTCAGTCCCACATAATTTTTTCACATTTGGCCCCTGGGCAGTAGTGATCATTTGAAGTCAACTGAACAAGGGGAAAAAACTCAAACCAATGAACCTCTTTCCCCCTCATCCTCCAATATACAGCCAGGAGAAAAACCTCAAAATACCCCCTCCTCCCCACCTTCAAATCCTAAGAAATTGGGCTAGGAAAGTGGTTCTTCAGGAAGAAGATATGAAGATCAGGACTCTTTGAACCAAGTGAGAAGAACTGCCAAATAATTAATCTGAATATTTTTCACACGTCATGCATCAGCCAACCTTTTCTTCAGTCCTGGGCAAAATGTAAGTAACTGAGAATATACCAGCCATTTTTTTCCCTCTGGATGCTAAGCTACTTGTAAGTGTTTCATATGTAGCCACACACACTGATGAGACTCAAGCATGCTGCCTGCATTCCCTGACTCAGAACCGGCTGAACACTGGGGAAAGGTAACCAACAAACTCAGCTCTGCCATCAGCTGCTGCCTGTGGATACTGAAGGCACAAACTAGAGTTACTTCACTTCCTTATATTCAGCTGAATTTAGACTGGCTGAATAGGAAAAGAATACAGCTGTGCATACTAAACAATATTTTCCCAGGCAGAAAGCAACCCAAGACACAAAGCCAGATCAGCAAAGCCTCACAATTCGGAAATGTGGCTGCCAGCAGGTGACTGACATTATATTTAGACTGAAGCTGCAGGTGTCTTTGAGACAACTCATATATTGCATATATTTAATATAAATATATTTTAATACATTTGCATATATTTAATATAAATTAAAAATGCACTCACTGGAGTAAGAGGATTTGGACCTACCCAGCCCAACTATAATCTCTCTATTTCTAAAATATGTGCCATGAATCAATAACAGAGTAATGATTTATTTAAAATTAGTCATTATTATTACAAAGGGTACCTATATTCTTTATGTGAAATACATGCTCAGGGGAAGAAGGTGAACATGGCTTTCTTTTTACTAGGGAAGAAACATCTCTCCACCTTCTTGCACTCACTGTTTGATGTCAGCCTGTCACAACCAAACAGAAGCTTTAATTCAGGTATAGCTGACTACAACATTTTCTGCATGCTACTTTTTACAGATATAATACAGTGGAAATCCTCCTTAAGGATTTTCCTTCCCTGCTTTAAAAAACCTCCTATGATTGCACACACTCCACTCCATTACTGGCCTTAAGAATGTCCAGCTCCAACAGCAGCTGATGGATCCAAGATGACCTTAGGAGAGTCAGTCATTGCAGTATCAGCTCCAGGTTTGTATCATGCTCAGAAGATACAAGCTGAGTAAAATATGTTACATAGCTTATCTATCATGACGCTTGTAAGAGGAGCAAATACCACACTCCCTGCTTGCTTCTCAGTTCTTAGAAAATAGTTTTGCTGCTCACCTATCAAGGCAAGGGCATTGCTAGACACATCAAAGCAGGGCAGGAGTGGAAGCATGTGTGGAGTAGTGTAGGAAGCTATTACACTACTACCACACCATTACGCAAGCATGCTGGCAGCAGGAGCATCTTCATCAATTCAACCGCTTATCATGGGACAAAGTCTACTAGCTCTCAGTCATGGTTTGGTCCTTCTGCTCTAGTTACAGATAATTTGTTCCCCTGGAAATTTATTTCTGTTATTACTAGCTAATATAAGTGTACATACCATTCTGCAATTGCACAACTACCTACTAACTTGCAGTAACTTTCTAAAAGCTTTCTTTAGAAGCCCAAGGTTTCAGGCAGTACTGTTTTAAACTATTTAATATAAACTTATTTAGAATATGTAAACCAATTTGCACTAACAGGCAAGTTTAAGTTAAGCTTTGGTAATTGCAATTAAGTTATCAAAGAAGTAACTGCCATCTGTCAGAACATCTGCTTTGGTGTCTGCCACTCCAAACTCCAAGATGTGAAAACGCTACCAGAAGCTGCAAATCTTGCTTTACCGTAAACAACATAGTCCGGTTTTCTGCAATGTCAGTTGGCTGCACAACACTGTGTCCATAGACGAGTTGACTTTTTAGGTTCAGTGAAATTGCATCTTCTTCAAAAGATCTGACAAAGCTGTTACTCCTAAGGCTTCCCTCTTGGAAATCCTTCTTAAAAGCAAAGGAACGAAGTCCAGGTTGAGAAAAAGATTTCCTAATTGGCCTTTTTTCCTCCTCTTCATTGACCAAGGGCTGGAACACAGACCGTAATTTGCTGCTGAAAGAGAAACCTCCAAAGTTATTAGCAGTTTCATGTTGTTGGGATGATGAGCTGAAATCTGAATTTTTCGTACAGCTTGCACGATTGAATTTCTCAATGCATTCATCTATGAGTGCTGGAGGCGCATTTTTATGTGCTACTGTTACCCGTCCACAGAAGAGCACCTCAAACTTTTTGGCAAAAGGGTCTTCAACATCTGAGAGATTATTCTGAAACTCTTCTTGACGGGCAATTTTTCCAGCTTGTCGAATAGAGCTTATAATCTCAGGCACCTACAAGAGGGGGGAAAAAATACACATTAGCATCTGGTACTTTATGACAAACAAATTGCAAAATTAAGAGGCTCCCTATTGTGATTTTCCTGGAAGGATACTTTGATTTAGTTTCAAAAGTAAAAGACCAGTTGAAGTGATCTTGCATTCATTCAAGAGATACATTATAGCAGTTAAACACTGAGAAGGAATTTCTCATTTGTCTCCTTGCCAGGAGTTCACCATCATCAACACTTTGTCAAAAGAACTTTGTCCCTTGTAATGCTCTTCATCTTCAGTAAAACTTTTGCCACTGAATCAACCTTTATAACGTGACAAATTCCAAATCAAAATGAGATAGAAGTACTTCAAAAAGCACACAAGAAGACATGGACTAATTAATTGGTAAAGTTACTTAATCTGTTATTTTTCACTCCCCTCTCTTACTCAAACACTCATGTCATGTAGGTTAATGAGTCTCACAAATTTGCTTTTCCCTTCATGATAGCATATTACATTGTTATGGCAGTTTGGTGGCTTTAAAAAAAAAAAAGTAAGTAGCTGTATTTTTTAATAACTATATTCATTATTTTACATGTTCATTTTTATTCTACTATCCTAGATGACACTGTTAAATAATATTACCTCATATACAGTATTATGTGCAGGGCATCTGTATGAGACAGCAGTCTGCTACAGATCACAGATGTTGTAATGAGAACCCAAACTGCCATGTGACACATTCTGAGGGACAGTAAACGGTCTCAGTTGCTGATATGGTTAGATGGTAGTGATAGGCATATGCTCTCTGCTAAGCTGCTGTGAGGCCAATGCTTGGTTACATCACATTGCTTTAACTGACCTAGGAGATTAAGGTTCCTCTGCAGTCTGTGCTGCTGCTGCAGTAATGAAAAATGTGAGGCCACCATCTATGATTACAACTGCTAATTCTGCCAGTTTTATTCACCAAACTTACTTTGAGAAAAATCCATGCAAAGAGTGCTAATTTCCTGACAAAATGGATTTCCCCTGTCAAGCATCAACTGGAACTCACTTTACTTACAAGTATTTGGTTGCAGATAGTACAGAAAGAAGCCTGGGACCAGCAGCCTAGAAGAACAACCTCTCCTATGAGAAAAGGCATCCCTAAACCTAGAGAATATTTTTGAGACCTGGCCTCTGGGTTTTTTTCAGACATTTTTACAGCTATGTATTCCTTAATCATAATACAGTAATGTGCATAAAGCAACTGAGGAAACAGCAAAGGACTCTGAGGGAAAAAAAATCTGAACCGTGAAAATTGAATGAATATTCTGGATGCTCATAAAGACCTCAATAGGATTCCTTTTATAGAAAAGGAAACAAAGATAAAGATATGGATAGATAGGTAGGTAGGTAGGTGGGTGGGTAGGTAGATAGAGGATTTAAAACAGTAAGTAGCACATTACAAAATAGGAACTCAGGAAGCATTACTTCACCCTTCAGCACAAGGCATGAGTCATCAGCTAATCATTCAGCAAAGATAACAGGGAAGAATGGGGTAAGAAAAGCAGGGTCAGGAATTTTTAAGTCCATTCTCTGATATGTCACAAACCAGTCAGAAAGCCTTGGGCTCAGGCAACTTTATGCTGAACTTCTTTATCATATGCAACAAGAACATCAAGGGTATAACAAATCTTTAGTACCTCAAACAATATGCATTTGCTCTACAGTGAGTTTAAGGTCCACCTCAGTTTTATTTACTCAACACTCCTTCAAAGAAACAATTCTGAGTGGCATAACATATCAGACTTACAATAAAACATAAAGCTTCATTCTACCCACATTTGAAGGTGCAACTGTTTTAGCAATTTTTAATAAACATGTTTTACTCTTGTGGGAGTGCCTGGACTCATCAGCCATAGGCAATTTTACTACTGAGCTGCCCAGGATACATGCAGAGACCAGCAATCCCACCTCCACTTTTGCTGAGGCTGCAGAGGCAGCAGCAAAGGACTGAGGCATTTTCTGGACTCTGTTTACTTTGGTAAAGCCAACATCAGTTCTCAAAAGAGGACCACTACCTCAACCACAGTTAAGCTCTCCCTGATGTGTAAGCTACACACACATCAGTGACTATAAGGACAGTTTCCAGCAGTGCAGGTGCTGCAAGGGTTACGGCTGAGCTAAAGCCCTGACAAGGCACTAGGGATCCAGCACATCTATGCACTTACTGAATTTAATTTCTTCAATGTTTTTTCTTAACAAATACCTTGGACATTGACAAAATAGCTATCCAACTGTGGCTATACTTTATATACAGACAGTGCTTAGGGAAAGACACTATATCACACAGAAGGACTTTGCAGTAGTTAATAAACTTTGTGTCTGAGGAGACCAAGCAGGCCTGTTGATGAAAAATCAAGGGGAGTATTTATTTATTTATTTTCACACATGCTAGGGCTTGAATCATGTCATTGATAAGTAACAGCTGGCTTCCGTGCTACACTTACTAAAAAACACAGACTCTTCTGTTCTCACTTACAGACCTAAAAAAATTTCCAGCCTGCTAATAAAATTTTATTACTTATGATTAGGCAATTGATGCAGCAGCAGCAGAAACAGCAGAAGCAGCAGATCATCACCTCATTTTCCTGCGATGCTTATGTACATTTATCTATTTATACACATTTATCTATTTTCATTAGTAAAGATAAGATCCATGATGAATGAATGAAAAAAAAAAAAAACCAAATACTTTTTTTCCCTGGAACGACACTTTGCCTGATCAAGATTTGTGCTCTTTTTATCTACCTGTACCACTCCAGACTTTTTATGCAAGTATGGAAAATGAACAATCCACTTGCCCTCTGTATCCTCTGACATTGGCTCTCCAAGTAAACAAACCGGGATGCTTAGTAAACAAACATGAAGTAAACAGTAGTTAAAAATAAGTATATTATAATTATTTCAGGTTATTAGAATAAAGATGTAGGCTCTATCTTGCCAAATGTTTATTAACCACAGCTGGAACATTTCCAGATTAAGCAGCATGCCACTGGGTGATCAGTAACCACATCTCTTGCAAACCTCCAAAAATTAATTAAGATGTAAACATAATCAGGTTTTATGGCTCTTCAATTTGTATCAAAAAGCAGCAAGGATGAAGTTGCTTCTGAATTAAGTTAATGTTGCTTGGAGTCTTTTAAAGATTGTGGGCTCTTTCTGAACACAAGAATTAGATACACAATATGTTTACACAAGATATAATATATATATACAAGATATATATACACAAGATATTTATCTTTTTTGTTTAATTACAAAGGTAATTTAATTACAAGCTGGCATAGGTTGCCCAGAGAGATTGCAGAGTCTCCATCCTTGTGGATATGCAAACTCTGACTGGACATGAGCTGAGCAGCCTGCTCTAGGTGACCCTGCTTTGAGCAGGGGGCTGAACTAGATGTCCTCCTGAGGGGCCACCCTCTGTCACCCTGGGGATTTAGATACCAACTGCTTTTATACATACCTATTGGTAATTGTGCCTTCTAATCTGAACTTGCTAAGACAGTGGGGAAAGACTGTTGTGCACAGGATTTCTTCCTGCCATGCAAATCCTCTTTTCTAGCATACTTCTATTCTTAAGTATTTTCTGATTTGTTTCTTAATACAAATATATAATTAGTGGATAAAGATTATTTCTGCAATCAGAAAAACCACTGCTGCTGACCTAAAATTATTTCCCTAAACCCACAAAACTATGTACATAACATCTGTGTAAACAACAATGAACTTTTACCAAACACATAGCATTACCTTCTTATCACTTCAGGCCAAATAAGCCTGCTGAACAGAAGACACAAATGAAAAGTACTAGGGAAAATGTTTTGTGTTTAGAATGTCTGAATTAGATACAGAAAAAGATCACGTATCTATAACCATTAAAAATAACACTGAACTTGTGGGTTTTTTTAAAGTGGACCACGTTATTTCTGCTATAATGAGAATGTTTACTTTGCAAAGACAAAGCAGGAAACTGAAATGCTGAGTATTCTTATGACGTGGCTTGTGGGTATTCAAGCAAATTACAAACCAACACCTAGGACTTCCTAGTGAATGCTACTCAGTCACAAGACAAATAGCTACAGCTTCTATGCCATGCAACAAATAATGACAAAAGGCAGTAATTTTTAAGCATGCATGGGTTTGCTGCATCTGAAGAACAAAGAACAGCTCTTTCCCCTCACATAAATTGCAATTGCATTTTTACCCCTTGAAACTAGCAGTCAACCAGAAAGTTTACATACAAGCATGTAAAGCTGGGAGAACTAGCTGAAAAAAGAAAAAAGTGGGATAATTTATTATTCTAGATGCTATGCAATATTTATACCTGCAGCACAAATCCACCTGTTTACACCTACCAGTCTCTGCATAAGGCTGAAGCACTGGCTTAATGATTTCACGGACATAAGAGGTTTTGTTTAACCTAAGCCAGACCTGTGCTGACAGGAACTGGTCTTATGCAACAGAGTCCTGAAATTGCTGGAGACTGAAAAACATTAGGGTCAGATTCTTAAACTGAACCTCAGGAGGTCTCACACCACCCCAGCTAGAACAAGCCTGGAAAATCTTTCACAAAACTCTTGAAACAAGCAGATGTTTTGCCTGAATTTTGCTAGCTTACTCAAGCAAGAGAGAACATCGGAATTATTTTTAAGCGCTTTTACTTGCTTTTTTTCCCTGATCAATAGAGCAGGCTCAATAAAATATGTCAAGAAATCTAATACTGTTTGCTGTTAGCATCTTTCCTTCTAGATTTTACGAGAGAGTACTGCTACAGAAAAGATAGGGTACACAGCTATTTAACCGTGGGAGAAGCTATCTAGTTGTATCAGGACAATTATAGCAATATTTTTGTCACCTGTAAGTTATTTACGATCATGGAATATTTGTAAAAGTAGTAGAATGAAGAAATTAAAATAATTTTTAAACATATGCAACACAGATAAAAGGTAATACAGCACAGTATTTACTTGCAT